ACTTTGTGAGAGATTCTTAATATATATACCCTTCATCCGTCGGTGATGGGTATCAAACCAAAAAAAAAAAAAAAAAAAAGAAATATTTCTCATATAATGTTATGGCAAAAATTACATTAATTTAAGGCGTAAAAACATTCAACCGAAAAATTTCAAACTAATTGCAAAAGTTACAACATTTTCATTCTACTTTGGTAAAACCGATGCGTTGATTGATATGTTTTAACTGCTTTCTGAAATTTCAATTACAAAACAAAAACGATTTTCCGTCCCAACCGAAATCATTTATTAAGGGAGCAAGCAGTGAGACATTGTCGACAATGTCGCGACACGGTTTTAACAATTTTTTTTTTTTTAGTTTTCCTCAACCAACACCTTTAATACATTTGTTTGTCATCGGCATGCACATACGCAAGCGGCATCTGCAACAGACGTAACCCTTATATAACACTTAGACTGTTTGCATAGGAAAAAGCGAAAAGCCACAATAACAAGCAATTTGCCCTATATACACATGTACCTTAATATTAAAAGTAAGACGTATACATCCACGCGACAAACTTGCCGTATACAATGTCATATATATATATATACATATATATGTTTACCCATACAGTCACCGGAGTTAACTCGAAAAAGGAATAGACGAGAAAAAAAAAAAATAAAAATAAAAAATAAAAACATTTTAGCGAAAGAGAAACCAACGGCGCCATTTTGTTGAAAACAGCTTTCTCGCATTTCTGCGGTGATTATTTACATGTTATTGTGTGTAACAAGTTTGCTTGTTGTTCTACATCTGCAAATTAGAATCTACCAGCAAAACTTAGATAATTTGTTGCTAAATTATCAGAGTGCAAGAAATTGTTTGTGTGGTTCAATGTTTTCAAACAATAAAACTATTAATTAAAACTAAACAAAGGTTTTTCAACTATCTCAAGGCCACAAAACTAAGTTGAAAGTTAAATAAATAATAAAAAAAAAAAGGAAACATTTTCTCTCCCTTTTTTTTTTAATCAAAATGTAATAAACACTTGCATCCAAACCAACATCATGAGTGAGAGCAATAGCAGTGATTGCTAGCAAAAGTATTCATCACCGGTAGCCGAACTAACAGGCTACGATAGATACAAATGGCTCATGCACCCTAAACGCCACTTTGACTCTCACAAGTCATTGAACTGCATTCCTTTCATCTCTTGATATAAATATACTCAATACGATCGAACATGAACAAAAATATGTAAAAGAACGTCAACACAAACTGAACGAGTAATGGTCAGCCATAGACATATCTTCTCGAAATCTATTGAAACTAGAGTCGTAGACTCTTGACTTTGTCATCTATGAGAACTTGAAATATTAATTCAATGAATTTTAAATGCAAAAAATTTCTTATCACTACACACACACACACACACACTCACAAATATCATCGCATAAACATTTAATTAATGCGAGGATACGCAAGCACGTTATCCATCAGCGATCGCTTGT